ATATACCATATATCTATATGTACATGTATATTTGTATGTGTCTAATTGTGTGTGTTTGTGTAAATGTGACTTGTAAGTTAATGTTTCATATATATGCATTCAATCCATTCAGTCTTGTGCGTACGTTGATAGCATAGCTTCATTTTTGACCATCACGGGGATGTCAGTCGCCGTGAGAGGTATCTTTCACTATGATGACATTGGTTGTCTTCCTATTATTTTCTATGCGTTTCTTCTCTTGCACATACTCGCTAGTACTATACGACCTATGTCCAAATCACCCCGTCCTCGGTCTTCGGATTTTGTTGCTGCGCCAGTGAAGTGTTCCTACTCCCCTGAACAAGTACATAGCGCCCGCCCTACAGTCTTATAGCTCTCATTCTTTGCATGAATATGCTTTCCATAACAGAATTGGCATGTCTTAATATTCCCATCCTCTCTGAACCCGTCACCGATGGGATCATCTTCGACGTCTCGTTTACGACTTCACAAATGACTCTCGTCCTCAGCTCAACGATGACTGATTCGCGAATATACGATAGTGTCGTATTGAATGTAAGTGTAGGCGTCTGGGAGTATACGGACACGCGTGTGCGTGTGTTCGTGGGTGTGTTTGTGAGTGTGCATACTGACAACGATGACTGATTCGCGAATATACGACAGTGTCGTATTGAATGTAAGTATAGGCGTCTGGGAGTATACGGACACGCGTGTGAGTGTGTTTATGAGTGTGTTTGTGAGTTTGTTTGTGAGTGTGCATACGGTACGATGAACGTGTCAGGTTTCCTTCGTCTCATTGCGCTTCGGCTGAAGGCTTTATTTTCCGCAGGCCCTCCTTAAAACCTATCGTACGTGAGTATTCTGTGTTTAATATCGTTCGGCGCCAGTAAATATCAACTGTGATCTCGGCCCTGCTTGTACAATATATGTATACTGTTTGGAATATCCGTCGTACGTGACCGTATTTGTTCCGGGCCCTTTCACCAACACCCTTGCTTAACGCTTAACGCTTATCGCTTAACGTACCTTTGCCCCTTTCCTTTCACGAACAGGCCTGTTCTAGTGCCAACTATGTATCAGTCACCTCCACGAGCATAGCCAGCACAGGCTGTCAAGACCGCATCACACTTGTGGTGGACATAGCTGACTTGAACGCCGTGTGTAGCGTGGCAGCGACCACAGCCTTGTTCCCGGATAACTACATCAAACGGTCGTATACAGGTATGGCTATGGGGCTGATGTAAGCGCAGACGTATCTGGTGAGCGAATGGATACCTATTTGAGTAAAAGATTATTTGAGTAAATACTTGTTTGAGTATAAAGACAAACATGTGGGCTGGATCACGGGTTGACTATAGGATTCGCGTAGCTCAGGGGTTATATAATGTTTGGTCCTGTGTCAGATGGCGTAGAGTAGTGTGTGACATTGTAAGTGACTGAGGTGTAGCTCAGGGGTTACATAATGTTAAGTCTTGTGTCAGATGGCGTAGAGTAGTGTGTGACATTGTAAGTGACTGAGGTGTAGCTCAGGGGTTATATAATGTTAAGTCCTGTGCCAGATGGCGTAGAGTAGCGTGTTGCATTGTAAGTGACTGAAAGGGGTTGTTTCAGCGCAGGTCGCGACTCTGTTCTCAGCAGCGCAGCTGATTACACACACATGTCAATGCCCCAGGATCAACTCTGACCAACCCAGGGCACTATTCCCTTTCTGTGATCCAGGCTAGCACATACACACACATGACACTATTTAACTACACGCACACACACATGACACTATATAGCTACACACACACACACACACATGACACTATATAACTACACACACACGCACATGACACTATATTACTACACACACACACACATGACACTATATAACTTTTACTGACACGCGTGCTCAACTAACGATCAGTTTTTACCACCTATCCCACACACAACCACTCGTGTATTACGTCCACAATTAGACGAGGTATCGTTCAACTGTGCATGTCCACTTCTTGCAGGGTCTATAACATTTGTCCACTTCCTGCAGGGTCTATAACATTTGTCCACTTCTTGCAGGGTCTGTAACATTGAATATGAGAGAGTTCTTTTTGAATGAATTAGAGGTGTTGGAGGAGCGATCCTTCAGCCAGGTGCTGGGGTTCGCCGCCGATTTCGATACCGGTATTGTGGTATGTATATACCGGTATTGTGGTGTGTATATACCGGTATTGTGGTGTGTATATACCGGTACTGTGGTATGTATATGCCGGTATTGTGGTGTGTATATACCGGTATTGTGGTATGTATATACCGGTATTGTGGTATGTATATGCCGGTATTGTGGTGTGTATATACTGGTATTGTGGTATGTATATGCCGGTATTGTGGTGTGTATATACCGGTATTGCGGTGTGTATAGTATAACCCGCACATTCAGTTGCCTATCCAAATGGAGCACATACAATGTGGTGATGCAATTCGGATATTCCATCCCACCGCTTGACGCCTGCTATATCATCTACAGGACAGGCCCCAGGCAGATTTAACCATCTCGTAGTTCACTCACACAGTGTGAACATGACACCGAATCCAACTGTAGTCGCCGCATGTGACTGGACGTGTGTCATTCTTCTCACGGCCACATTGACCATAGTCATGCGCGTACTAAACGGCTGTGCATTTCAGTTGTACGTGTGTGTTATTTATTTCAGGCCAATAATAATAGCCCGCCAACAAAGCACTTGATACCGCACCCAGCCACTCGTGAGAGGTTAACTGGGGTACCTATCTATCCCAATCACCCCAGGATTTAGGGTTTAACATCTCTATTCCAGTCACCCCACACGCCATACACCTACAGCCACCTGACTGCAACACCACACCAGCACCTGCAGTGCCCCACTTTAGGCCAGCCACTGGTATGCCTCTGGATATCAACTCTTACTATCAACTCTTACTATCAACTCTTACTATCAACTCTTAATATCAATTCTTATTATTAAGTCTTACTATCAAGTCTTAATATCAACTCTTACTATCAACTCTTACTATCAACTCTTACTATCAATTCTTACTATCAACTCTTACCATCAACTCTTAATATCAACTCTTAATATCAAGTCCTACTATCAACTCCTACTATCAACTCTTACTATCAACTCTTACTATAAACTCATACTATCAACTCTTACTATCAAGTCTTAATATCAAGTCTTACTATCAACTCTTAATATCAACTCTTAATATCAACTCTTACTATCAACTCTTACCATCAACCCTTACTATCAAGTCTTACTATCAACTCTTACTATCAATTCTTACTATCAACTCTTAATATCAACCTTAATATCAAGTCCTACTATCAACTCTTAATATCAACTCTTATTATCAACTCTTACTATCAAGTCTTAATATCAACTCTTAATATCAACTCTTACTATCAACTCTTACCATCAACCCTTACTATCAACTCTTAATATTAACTCTTACTATCAAATCTTACTATCAACTCTTAATATCAAGTCCTACTATCAACTCTTACTATCAACTCTGAATATCAACTCTTAATATCAACTCTTAATATCAACTCTTAATATCAACTCTGAATATCAACTCTTAATATCAACTCTGAATATCAACTCTGAATATCAACTCTTACTATCAACTCTTACCATCAACTCTTACTATCAAGTCTTAATATCAACTCTTACTATCAACTCTTACTATCAAGTCTTAATATCAACTCTTAATATTAACTCTTACTATTAACTCTTACCATCAACCCTTACTATCAAGTCTTAATATTAACTCTTACTATCAACTCTTAATATCAACTCTTAATATCAACTCTTACTATCAACTCTTACTATCAACTCTTACTATCAACTCTTACTATCAATTCTTACTATCAACTCTTACCATCAACCCTTACTATCAAATCTTAATATTAACTCTTACTATCAACTCTTACTATCAACTCTTACTATCAACTCTTACTATCAACTCTTAATACCAACCTTAATATCAAGTCCTACTATCAACTCTTACTATAAACTCTTACTATCAACTCTTACTATCAACTCTCAATATCAACTCTTACTATCAACTCTTACTATCAACTCTCAATATCAACTCTTACTATCAACTCTTACTAACATCTCTTACTATCAACTCTTACTATCAATTCTTACTATCAACTCTTACTATCAACTCTTACTATCAAGTCTTAATATCAAGTCTTACTATCAACTCTTAATATCAACTCTTACTATCAACTCTTACCATCAACCCTTACTATCAACTCTTACTATCAACTCTTACTATCAATTCTTACTATCAACTCTTAATATCAACCTTAATATCAACTCCTACTATCAACTCTTATTATCAACTCTTACTATCAACTCTTACTATCAATTCTTACAATCAACACTTACTATCAACTCTTACTATCAACTCTTAATATCAACTCTTATTATCAACTCTTAATATCAACTCTTATTATCAACTCTTACTATCAAGTCTTAATATCAAGTCTTAATATCAACTCTTACTATCAACTCTTACCATCAACCCTTACTATCAAGTCTTAATATTAACTCTTACTATCAATTCTTACTATCAACTCTTAATATCAACCTTAATATCAAGTCCTACTATCAACTCTTACTATCAACTCTTACTATCAACTCTTACTATCAACCCTTACTATCAACCCTTACTATCAAGTCTTAATATCAAGTCATATTATCAACTCTTACTATCAACTCTTAATATCAACTCTTACTATCAACTCTTACTATCAACTCGTACTATCAAATCTTACTATCAACTCTTAATATCAAGTCTTATTATCAACTCTTACTATCGCCGCAACGTCTGCCCATTAAATTTATTCCATTGCACTCTGCGCGTGCCCATCCCTTGTCAGGTACCTGATGTTGTGGAGACGCACACAAACTCGCCGCTGGGACTGTATGCGGCGGTTTCTAATCTGGATACTACGCCCAGCACGTATGCGGTGGTGGATGTCACCTTCTTCATGACCTATCCGCTTCACGTCTCCAGTATGTTGCTGTTACCCCGTACTCACACGAGTCTGTGTTGAAACGCCCATGTGTCACAATTTTATAGTACCCGTACTGGGGATATCGCGCCGTGTGACCAAAATACACATACACGTCGACTTCTCTTCAGCACCACTACACATCCCAAGTGCTTATGCGATCGAGATTGATGTCTTGGTGTAATAGGTTGGACCGGCGTACTGACCAAGACCGGAACAGACCCTCTCCTGGGCGTAGCCAGCGTAGTCTCGTCGGCTGGTACTACTTACTGTACAAACCCAACGGACTACGTACCTGTGTGTACCAAGACGATACAGGTAACCCAACGCCGAAACACGCCACCCGAGACTATTTTTAACAGTCTACCACCAGTGCATACTCAAATTATATGTCTTCTAACTATGTATCACATACAAGATACCTTACTAGGCCACCCCTGCCTCCTCTGCAAATACAAAGATTGTGTGCTGCTGTGGGTGTTTGTTTGTTGTTGTAGGTAGTCGCATGACTATACAAGATACCTTACTAGGCCACCCCTGCCTCCTCTGCAGATACAAAGATTATGTGCTGCTGTGGGTGTGTGTTTGTTGTTGTAGGTAGTCGCATGGCTATACAAGATACCTTACTAGGCCACCCCTGCCTCCTCTGCAGCTACAAATCGCTCACGGTACAGCATGTAGCTTGGACGGGAACTACAAATTCAGCTCCATCAGTATTGGCTGTGGCATCGGTGTGGATGCGTTAGACTGCCCGTTAACTGCCACGGATACCAGCAGTTGGGTGAGTTACCTACTGCAACCTATCTCTGTAGCGATGCCTGATTGGATTTACGTTTGTTTTGGATTACATGTGGCGGTGTGGGTGTCTGAATTCAAGAGTACCTCGCCAGTGCTATGCTTTGACCAGCAAAAGTGCCCATCTATTTAAACGATAATTTATCAAAAGTGCTTATATATTTAAACATTAATTAAGCAAAAGTGCTTATCTATATAAGCATTAATTAAGCCAAAGTGCGCACCTATTTATACGTTAATTAAGCCAAAGTATTTATTTATTTAAACGTTAATTAAGCCAAAGTGCGCACCTATTTATACGTTAATTAAGCCAAAGTATTTATTTATTTAAACGTTAATTAAGCCAAAGTGCGCACCTATTTATACGTTAATTAAGCCAAAGTATTTATTTATTTAAACGTTAATTAAGACAAAGTGCGTACCTATTTGAACGTTGATTGTTACATCCGTATGCCTACTGCGGAATAGATATCATCTGTAGCTTCTTGATTAAGTAGTACCTGGTCTGTTTCTAGCCGTCAGGTGATTTGTATGGAAGCGTACGCCTCTGTAACGACTAAGCCTGTACGCGTATAGCGCGTACAACCCACCCAGACCACACTTACCAGACCTTATTTGCAACATATGCCAACGACACCTATCTTCACGCCCTCATATGTCAAAATGTTTCTGACTTTTCATATCCCATACCATGATACACTGATTCATAAGATACCATACCTACCTACCATATACCTACCTCTCTATCGCCGACCTCCCAATACGTCTCGACGCAACTGACCAGCCCACACACCCCAACCCGTTGCGCACAGTTTGCCTTTGACATTGCACTGCCGTCGCTGTGTGATGACACGGGCTATGACGTAATGCACGATGACGTCGTGGCTATCGCCAGCTTCAACACTGTGTGGACAGACCCAGAGGTGCCGCAAACAGCCTTTGTGTTTGGTGGCCAGATGAATTTCGCTGCTGGGTTTAGCGGGATGGCTGTTCAATCGTAAGTGGGAAGTTTGTGATGTGTGTGTTTGTATGTGCATGGATGTGTTAGGATACTGTTGGCGGAAGTGTGTATCTGCATAATGTGTATGCAACTATATATATATATACAAATGTATAAAATTATATATGCACATATTTGAATAAATATATACATACATACACAT